AAGTACTCTCTGCTTATACTTCACTTCTCGGTAATACAAGTCACTGGATGAAACATAAGTTATACCTCTATTCTAATTCTAGGGGTAACTCTCCATTTGATCGGAAAGAACAAGCTTAACAGCAGCCGAGCTTCCACGGCAGCTAAGCTCAAACTGGTCAAAGAACCCTGCCACTTGCACTATACGAGGAAGCACCAGGGGACTCGGAACCACCAGGCACTGCCGAACAGAAGAACCAACAGTACCCAACGGTACGTCAGTGGTGGCTGGTGAGTCTGTCTCATCTTGTCTTGAAGTTCCCTCTGCTCGGATTATTCTGCCAATGTGCCCCCTGTGGCTCAGGCCAAGCTACTCGGGGCAATCGGCAAGAAACTACCACCTCTCCCCGATTACTCGTCAACTTGTCCACCAGTTTCGTACCCTTTCGTACCCTTCCTCCCTTCCCCTCCTTACCGTCGCCGCTAATACCCACTATTTATGACAGCTATGACATGACAATATGCAGCCATCTGCGTCTCATGCTTCCCGGAAAGCTTTTCCTTAGCGAATAGCTGGTCGATTCGCAACGAGGTTTCAAGCTAATCTCGTATCACAAAGAAACGGAAGGCCTGGATCGGTCTAAAATATCCGGCTGCTCGAGCTGGCTGGGTATCAGCTCTGGCGGCTGGATGCATGGGGTCGATTGTCGGCACCGCTCCCATCACCCTGAGGTCCAACCGATCTGCCTTCTTTGTTCCGGCCCCAGGAATGTGAGTGCTATACGTCTCGATCGATAATAATACTAGAAGAACGATAGAGAATAGTGATCGAGAACCACATTTCATGGTTCTGTCAGCCTTTCTGAAGGTGGGTGGTTTTCGAAGAAAGGGTATGCATCAACCCGCCGCCACACAGCAAAACGCTCACCTTCCGGAGCTCAACCCCAACGCTTGAAGCTATTCCGAGTGACAGAACTTTGCAGTGACGGGGCCGACCCACTCTTATACAGCACCATCGTTCCTCTCTTCACCCCCTACCCTTATGACCAGTGACCTCGATTCGTTCGTCGTTGTTCCTCAAAAAACCTCCCTCTTGACGACATATCCAATCGCTTCCGCGATAGATCAGCAACGTTAGCTGCGGAGGTTATTGCAGATAAGCTACCGTCCCCACGGCTGCAGGTGTCACTATCCCCAAGACCGATCGACCAATCAATGGACGATCGAGCAGAGATCGAGCAGAAGAGTCTGACAGTCTACGATCTCCTGTGGCAAAACGGTCTCCTCTGCCCCCCTTCCCCCCAGACGTCTCTTCACGCACGTTTAAAATCAACCTTAAAGCCTAACGAGACCTACCCTCTCCGGTACCTGCAGTCCAAACCCGCCAGGAACGTTACCACCACCTGACAAGAAAGTTACTCTGGATTCCGACGCTGTGGTTCCCGGACAAGCGACCACCTCGTGTCCGATACTTCCGATAGATTGATAACCTCCCCCCTCCGGATCTATGAGGTGCAGCCCTAGCAAAGAATATTCAACACAATCTATAGGCGCCGGCTGACTGATCGGTTCACCACGAACTAGTTGGCTAGTTGATTTTCTGTTCCCCTGTCGATTACTCCTCCCGACTGCCGAGTAGATCCTACTCCAAGATCACTACCCCTACTTAGCGCGATCTTGCCTCACAATACAACACGCCTCATGACAGCAAAATGCTTCATGCCTTTATCCCCAATGTCTCATTCCATGAGTCGTCCCGAACCCTCAGGCATTCATTCCAGCACCACTGGGCGCCCCCGGCCAAGACAATACGAGCTGATACCAACGATACCCACCGCCCAGCGGTTCGGCGTTCGTAAGGCGTAAGCACGGTATGTAATTGGAATACCGCCAATACGCCCCTTCCTGCAGACCAAACGGCGCTAAACTGGGAGCAAAATTACCACAAGTGGGGACAAAAAAGCATCCCTCACACATCGGCACGATCCGTATGTGGAGTGGGGAATAATTTTCTCTCTCAGTCAGCCGCCGAGACCCAAGCACCACCGAGCCCACTCCCAGAGGGAGAAAAATCGGTGGGTTGCAGCGCACTGTGTCCGGATTTCCAAGGAACCTGACAGGAACTAGCAGAGCGAGTATGACGACATCGTACATTTCCGAGGTGCAAAAGGGCCAGATTTCCTCCCCCCCTACTGAGTTTATGACGTCACTTTCAGGTCCAGCTGCCTTGCTCGCTCCTCTTGGGGGGGCCTGGGATTTCCCCTTCCCTCGTCCGCTCCCATCTGTTTTTCTCTTTTCCCACCCCGGGACTTAGGAAAGTGAGAAACAATTTGGAGGAGGAGCGGACAACAGAGAGATCGGGGGAGGGGGAAGGAGGGACGTGTCAGACCGAACAGAATTTTTTTTTTTTTTGGGTTTTCGGTTTTTTTGCGAATTCAATCTGCGGAGTACCTTCCTTTTCTATTCTTTTCTTCCTGTACAGGAGTACGACTGTACATAGCAGTAAAATCCGGATTTCGCTCAGGGAACACATTCCCATTCCAATGCACTACTACCATTATCATCTGGATGTGAGACCTCCTCGTTGTGTCGACAGTAGTGTGTACATATACATGTAACCCTAGTCCCAATAGTCCCCAAACGAACTTCCGCTTCCTGCGCGAAGATAAAACTAGAGTACTCGTACAGTATAACCAACACGGTCCGCTCAGATCCCTTTCCCCTCAAACCTCTCACACGATCCAGATTTTCAACCCCGTAAACAAAAAAAAAAAGACACGATCATCTATCCCCTCGCATCGAACCAGACGCGCCCCCCAACGCAGAATTCCGAAACTAGACCTATGCCCAAATCGAGACAGCAACACCCCTCGATGCATTTGTTTACGAGTTACACACATACCACCAGTACATGAGTAGGAAAAGTCCTACTCCACGAGATCGGCACTATCGTTTCCGAGCGCAGTGATTGGTGGAATGGGCCCTTTGTCTGATCCTCTCAGCACTCCCGAATCGAGGCTCGGGGACTCGGTACTTACCTAGGATACACTACGTGTCCGTCCCCAAAGGAAGGGGGGAAGGGGGGGCACCCGAAAGAAACAAGAAAACCTAGCTGGACTGAACCGCCGGCACTCAAAGTCTGGAACAGATGATAAGCAGCGGGTTGGGTTTCGCTTCTTAGCGATCCGTCGATCCATATACACGCTTGAGCCCGGCAAAAGTTGTTCCATTCGTCTTCTCGAAACCCAGGAAGAGGGAAGGGAAGATGGAAACAGATCTAGCGGGAATAAGGAAATCCATAAGGTACCGGTACCGGTACCGGTGCCAGCAACATTCGCGTCCAAGTGTGGTACACTGTGGGATTTCGAAAGCCAAATCAAAACAGTGACCAATATGGTACCGAGGACGGGAAGGGGGAGGGATAGTGGAGAAGGAGAACAGCCCGGGCGATGACGTCACCGACATCCTCGGCACATGGGTGCAATAGTCGGAGTGGAAGTGTCCAGTTGTCGCATAGCTAATCCCAACCCCCATCCCCCAACCCATTTGGCGTCCGTCCTCAGGATATAACTAGCAACTAAGACACATCCATTATAGACCGGGGTCATCTTGAACCGATCCTCCTCCTCCACCGAACTTCGATCAGGAAGGTGCATAAAATCCGGTACCCGCGAGCATATCCTGGATGAACTTCTGGGATCGATTCGATCAAGTCGGGAAGCTTCACCCGATCTCCGACCTTTCTTCTGTGGTCTCCCCCAACAACTGACGAGTAACCCAGCCAGCCAGCCAGCCAGTCAGCCCAGTCCCACAGTCCTGCTAGTCGTAGTAGTCCAGACATCATCTTACGAGTACTCCGTACTCCGTAGAGTAGATACTGATTGATAGCCAAGAAGTCCAAGCGATACTTCAGCAAACGCAAACCGCAACAACTCTAGCGCGCCGCGTCCCCTCCCTGAGACATGCACTAAAACCGCAAAAGAAGTTCTCCACTCCAGCAAAGACGGATTCGGGACTAAAGAGTGCATCAACCAGTTAGTGGCTCCGCGAGTTTTTGTTTTTGTGTGTACACACCGCACCCGAAGCCCATCCATCAACCACCGATTATTCACGGACGGGGGGGGGGGGGGGGGCCTAAACCCAAAAAAAAAAAAAAAAAAAAAAAAAAAAAAAAAAAAAAAAAAAAAAAAAAAAAAAAAAAGAAAAGGGAAAGCCCTTCGGCAAGTTACTGAGGAGGACAGGACAACACGCATTGAAACCGCAGGACTACTTACTGAAAGTCAATGTCCCCGATGATCGTCTAGCTAGTCTCGTAAGATAGGTATCCCCAAATTCCCAATGACCATCCGAAAGGAAAAAAAAAAAACCAGAAAACCTTCGATTCCATTCGATTCCCTCCCCACCCCTCAACCTCAATTTCAGCCTTACCGTCCAGGTGACTCTGGGCCATAATAGAACTGAGCAACTAAGATTTTTATTCTGCTGGAGAGATCCACACTTCCCATGTTTAAACTCGGTATACAGCCTCAAATCCTGCCTTCCGATTGACGGATCTGTGTTTTGATGGGTTTTTGGTTACGGTCTCCGTACTCCGTACCTGATCTCTTATACTTCTTCTTCTCGGTTAAGTTTGTCCCCCCAACGGCCACTAAGTTAGTCGACTAGTCGAGTGACCCTGAGGCCGGAGTAGGTACCGTACAGTGTTACACCTACGTACTATGAGTGCTTTCAGGAGAATGGGTGAGTCTAGATCGAGTCCTTTGCTGGATGTACATACACAGACATACACAGACATACATACATACATACATACCCAAAGCCACACACGTACAACCCCCCTAGCAAGACAAAGAGAGAGAGAGAGGGGAGTATGAAGACGAGAGACTAAAGCACAACAACCTAGCCCAAACTAAACCAACCCCCCTCCCTCCCTCTAATCCCCTCTACTCCCCTCAATTAAGCAAGTAGGCAAGCAAGTAAGTAAGTAACTAGCTCCCCCATCCCCAACTTCACCCCCTCCCTCCCCGCGGGACAGGTCAATCCCTATAACCCATACCCAAGCTTCGCAAAGCAAATCGAAAACACCCTCCCACCGATCCGATCCGATTCCCTCACACACAGACACACAAAGTAAGAATCCAAACCGTGACAACCTCCAAAAGATCCCTTCTGGGCAAAGTCCCCTCCCGTTCTTGCTGTACTATACTCCGTACGTACTCAGGTAGATAGAAAAACCACCCACCCCCACCCCAGAAGAATCCCGAAAAGCAAGCGCCAACACGTACGTACTCAGTACAGTAACCTAACTTACAGTAGGGGAGGGGTGAGGAGAGTCTATAACTCAACCATCGGTAAATAGCCGAGAGAACCCCCCCGGATCCCGAAGTATACAACCAACCCCAACCACCAGGGCAGAAGAAACGCATCGAACCATTCAGACACAACAACAACAACAGCAGCAGCAGCAGCAGCACAACGGAATCAAGAGCACAGCGATAGTGGGCGGGGAAGGGCGAGAAAGAAGTGCAGGTCCACATTCCCTCTTCCGAGAAATAAAAAAGAAAGGAATGTGAATGGTGCAGTTTCCAAGTTTTCTTGAAGAAAAGACTTTGCCGGGTTTGTATGGAGTGTGGAATATAACCACAAATTTCTCGATCTCAACTCCTCGTTGGTAGGCATCCGGGGCCGAACATTCCGATCAACACACAAAAACGAATGAAAAAAGTGCCCGGCGTGGCCGTCCGGCAAATCCCCAGCCTCTCGTTGGGAAAGCAAAGAAGTTGAAGGTTGATCGGGGTTTTGTCGTGAGGTTCACGATTTAGGTTAAACGTCCCCAGTTTCCCACGCTATCAGAACCGACCGGGTGATGGTCCGATGGATAAGGTAAAAGAGCCCCACATCACACGGGGGGGGGGGGGGGGGGGAAGGGGATGGGGCTATGATGTCATCGGGCTGTCGCTGTCGCTGTCGCATGTTGCCGAAACAAACTATCACGGAGCGGAAGGTTTTACCGATGGAGACCGCTGGACTGCTGGAGTCTAGAATCTGGAAACTACAACTAACTTACACTACACTACACTATGCACGGTAATATTACCCTAAGATAAAGGAGGCGCCCGCCATGTCAGTAGACTGGCCCCTCCGGTAATTTCATCTATACCCAAATTGGAAATTATTTAAACCGACGTTCCGTTCCCCCATGATCTCCCGACTGTTCGTAGGCCTGGACGCCCGGTATTCCTCCCATCGGCTTCTTGGGCTTTCGATCCCGATGGCCCTAAATTGTTTGGTGTTTGCAAAGTGCAATCCCCCAGAAAAGAAGACGGTGGACATCCGTCCGTTCCGAGCATTCGATCCCATGTATAGTATTTTCGTGATTTTCTTTCTCTGGCATATATGATGATACCCTGTCTAGCAAACAGGAGCACGCAAATTAAGAAAACACACGGAAGAACAGTCAGGTAGATGATAATAATGATAATAAGAGAGAGAACCATCATCCCAGGAGTAGAACACCCCTCGAAGTCAAGGCATCGAAGTCAAAATCAATCAGACAGCTGTTTTCATCTTCCAGAAAACAGCAAGAGTGGAGATAACACACAGAGGAATTGATCAACCATTAAAACAGATAAAATACTTCCGACAAAAATGGACAGGGTATCTATTCGTGTTCCTCATACCTCAACCACATCTTCGAAACATGGCAAGCCAACCAATCTCAACCAGATGAAATGCGAGGTCGTATATTCCCAAAATGAAAACAAACCCAGAAGACGTTGTCGGAGAAATGACATGTTTAGGATATCATGAAAACCATATAAGCACAGAGTCGCGACAAAATAATTCAAGATGCAGAAGATGCCTGGGTATCATTGCTAGGGAACTCGTGTATTATTCCCTGATACAACGCCCCCCCGCCCTCCACCATGGAGGGTAGTATAAAATGACGAGTAAGTTAAAAGATAGCCCCCGAACTCCGATGAAGCCAAAGAAAATGGCAAAAGTATATCACTCAAGGATGAATGCAATGTACCTTTTCACCACGCACCAGGCGCCCTTAAAAGGGAGAAAAAGGGAATGAAGTCAAAAGACCACCCCAAGAAGGCATTGATGCAACTCAGAGGTGGGAAAAAGAAAACTGAAGATGAATGACGAGGCTTTACGTGGCGGAAGATTTTTGAGAGGGTCGTGAATGTTTCCATCAACGTAAGACAGATTAATAGCTCAACTTGACTTCAACACTCTTAGCGCTTTCAGCGCCTGCTGCAGCTGCACTCTCGAAGGTGGACGTCTCGGAGATCTCGACCACCATGTCCTGGCCATCGGGCAGTTCACGGACGACATCGTCGTCGACCATGATCTTGAGACCATTCTGCTTGACATGGAGCACCCGCACGATCCGTCGTGGATCGATCCGCTGTTTCATCGAGATCTTCTCCATGAGATCTCGCACAGTGCGTTCCGTCAGGTAGACGGCCCGGTAATAATCATCCTGAGGCTGATCATTCCGCGGGAATCGGACGTAAAAGCATGCGACTGGTTTCCAGGTTAGCATCGTAGCTCAGCACGGAACATATTTTGCGGAACTTACTTGGTTTCACGGGCCGCTCGATTGGGGGCCTGTAGGTTGGATCGATGTCGACTGCTTCAATATACCCCACAGGGACGTGGTTATCATTACCGGCGACCTTCTGAACTTTAACCGGATGCTTCAACAGGACCTTGTCACCCATGGCTTCTGAGCAAGGGCGCGAATTTTCGCGGGAATTGTTCATGGAGCCATGATATCCCGAGTCGTAATAGAGGTTGGTCTGCGAGTTCGGCGGGTGGCAGGGTGAGTTTAGTGAGACGCTGCTGCTGGTGGGCGAGACGGCATGCAACGACACTCCATCGACACTGAACCGAGAGCTGCGGCTGTTCTCTCTCTTGATGAAATCGCGCGACTCCGGCAAAGCAACCGGGAATAGATCCGGATCATCCTCTTCCTCTCCCCGCAGTCCTAAAATGCTCACTGGCCGGGTCGAAGTGAACATGTCCTGCATAAGCGCGAGTTTCGCATGCAAATCATCTTCCAGTGACATCTTGCCGGGTCCATCCTGTGAGCTCATGGACCATGTCCGTTTGTGTTTTGTGATCTTGGCAGGACGGGGGTCGCCGCCCTTGAGCGCGACTGAGCCGCTGCTACGCTTCCGCTTGCCATAGTTTCCAGCTCCTAACTCGGCCTGGGTAATCTGCTGTCGAAGCTTGTCGATCGTTTTCTTGACATGGGCGACGTCATTGGACAACTTTCGCTCGGCTCCATGGTCGCGGAAGAGTTTCACTTTGCAATAGCATACTTCTGGCTCCTTGGCTGAGCCGGCCGCTATTTCATCCGGCGAAAGCATCTCGGTTTTCGCGCACAATCTGACCGGAATGCCCTTCACGCCTTTGGAATGACTGAAATCTGTCGACAGGAAGTTGAAGCGGACGGAAATGGCGCAGTCCGAGATTCCGGTCGTCGGATTCGCAGTCCAAGTCACGCAGAAGCCATCGAACGATGCACTTTCGAGCTGGATCTGGCGGTTCTTCGGGTCTTCCACGCCTCCTTGAGTCGGATCAACGTACTCAACCGCCTGCAGCTTGCCACCGCGTTGATGCGCCTCATTGGAGCCTCGTCCTTCCTTCCACAGTTGCCAGCAAGCTCCTGGCTTAGCTCGTTGCTCTTCTTCTTGGAACGACACGCGGATGTAGGTCCGATATTTCAACGGTTGCCCGGTCATCGGTGGCGGCGTCGAATCGACAACAGAGATCGAGTATGCTTGGCCCTTATTGAGATATGTGACGGGTATCTCGGCTTGGTGGTTGATCATAGCCGTTGGAGCACGCAAAGTGACATGATAGCGGAAACTGCGCCGATTAGATCTAACGTCTCGCCCAATGGAAGGGTTCTAGCTTACCTCTCGCCGGAGTTGTGGATGCTGAGCTGGTCGTCTTGAATCACCGACGGGACGAATTGGGTGGTAGCATTACCCTGCATATCCACATCATTTAGAGAAATTCCGTCAACAGATTCGTCCATGGCATCATAACCTGTATCAGTTGGAACAAATGCACCAGGTGCAAAGGTCGCCGGTTGAGCAAATGGTTGTGGATTATGAAAGTGGGGTGGCATAAAATGCGGGTTGAAGTGTTCGAGACCCATGGTTGCAGGATCGGCGTTGATGGTGGTTGCAGACAGCTGCTGGGGAAGTGACAGGGGGGTAATCATGCTTAAACCCATGCCAGGGGTATGCAAGTCCCCCGCCTGGCTGTGATACACAGCTCCCAACCCCCCAGAGTTCGGCGTATAGTACCCATGGGGGTTCATCGGGTTGATATATGATACTGCATTAGGGTCGACATATGATTGTGCGAAGCGCATGTCGTGTGTAGCTCGCGGTGTGATATCGTTGGGCTTCAGATCACCGTCCATACTCAATCTGTGATTGATTTGTTGGGTCAGCTTGTGTTTTCTGGTGCGAGTTCTCATGAATCGATGGGCAATGGAATTCCAGCGGGAGACGCTGAATCTCCGTGGGCGAGGGACAGTGTATTCACCTAGCGGGAGTAATCGGTCCAACGGGGACCTGACCAAAACGCGCGGCATTGCGGCTGGTGACTGGAGGAACGACGTCCTGGAAGGTCTTCTGGAATCTCGTGATGAGTTCGTCATCGGGCTTCTGGGAGTTCTTTCTGTTTGGTTGAATTAATTGGTAAGCATGAGCACAACTCGCACCCCCAAGGACGCACCATCCACGTTCAATAATCCGCGCCGACATACCTGTTGCGAAACATCATCAAGCGGTTCGGCGCAATTAAGGCCTTTCGATTATGGCCTGGGTTTTTGGCTTGTCAAGCTGCTTTCTGGGGTGTTTGAATCTTCGTCCTCGTGTCTCTGTTTGTATGTTGCCCGGTAAATTAATCGAGAATATGGAATTCAAGGGGAAAAATCGAAGCGATCGTAGATTGAGGTGGCATTCGGATCAAGAAGCGACTATCAGTCCGGCGCCGTGGGTGGAATTATCGAGAGACAATGGTAAGTTTGTCCCGATAAACTTAAGCCAGAATAGTGGCTAGAAAAAGTGTTTGGGTGGATTTTTGGTTGGCGAAAGTCCGACTTCTAAGGTATCACATCACAATTCACAAATCGCAAGTGTAGAATGATTGACTGCAATCCCAAAGACTACCACGGACAAGAGGGAAAAGAGATAATTGTTTTGAGATCGGATGGACGGGCAAGAATGGGGAGGGGAGGAGGAGGGGGTGGTTTGATTTGATTTGGTTTGGTTTGGGTCGCGAAGAGCGGAGAACAGTTCTGAGGGGGAAAGTCCGAGTGTTGCTGAAGAGAAGCGGAACCCGGAAGGTATCGGATTTATAGCTGAACAGACTCCTTACTCAGATAAGTCAGGTCATATGAGAACAGGCACCGAATGTTGTCAGAGGGAAGGTTTTTCGAGAAGAGCAGGCGAAGGATACGTATGCTGGAAGCAACTGTACAAATGGTGGTGGAAATAGTTGGAGTGTGGGTGTGGGTGGGAGTAGGAGGGAGAGAGGGAGAAAGTGTGTGTGAGAAAGAAAGAGAAAGAGAGAAGACCCAAAGGAGGCGAGGGGGAGACCAGGAAAAGGCAATAGTAGTGAGTGTAAGTAGGAGGAGGTAATGTACTCTGTAGTAATAGTAAATAAGTACTACTAAGTATGGAGTGAGTAGGAGGACTGAGAGGAAAAGAGGAAGATAGAGAGAGAGGAGGATTGAAGAGGGTAGAGCGCTTGGGACCAAACGGTAAGACGAAGCTCCCCCAGTAAGAATTGATATAGTAGGGTAGGGTGGATATGGATGGTGCGAGGGTAAGGATCTGAAGGACTTTGACACTAAGTCCAACAACCGTCCAAAGAGATCAAGAAGACTTTTTGAACTCGGAGGATTTGTGGAAAGAATGTGATAGTTATTAATAAAAGAAGAGAAAGGGGCCACATGGGAAAAAAGACGTGGTGACGTGCAATAATAACGGTTGGTTGAGTGATAAAAAAGAATATTTATTCTAAAATGCAGTTTGAGAAAATTAGAAGTAGAATAATAATAATAATAATAATAATAATAATAATAATAACAATAATACATTTCCTGAATAAAAATTGAAAAGGTATGGAGACAAAACCTTCCAGAAACTTATTTTGCCCACTCGTCCCTTTCACTACAGATCTCGTCTGGAGTTCTTTTCCTCGCTGATTTGCGCGTCCTCTGCGGTGTTCTTTTTCTCTCTCTCTTACTCTCTACTGCTGCCGTTCCATACAATTTTTTTTTTAGATAAATGGGTTTTCTAGGATTGGTTTTCAAACAGAGGAAGACCCAGGAATCAGTGGGGATGTTGTGAGGGGGTGGGTGTGGACCCGGTCTGGTAATTGGGTAAATTCCGGTGGTATTACCAAGGTACAGTACCTGAGCTGGGTAACGCCCGGAGCTCCTGTTATTTTACCGGTACTGTATCATACCGGATGCACTCGCTGTCAGCCAGAGAGATGGGAGAGGTATAAGTATATGTCCATGGTTAGTACTACGTACCATGACTTGAGAAATAGGTATGTAGTAGATTAGAAAGTTTATTCAGATCTTGTACCTCTCCCTCGGGTTTCGATATCTCTATCTCGAAAGGGAAACAGGAAGTAGGATAACAGCAGTAACAGTAGCCGCACAAGAAGCAGATTCCAGCTGCGAGGCAGTTTTCTACTACCCCGATGAGAGGAGAGTCCGAACATCCGTATATCCATTAGTTGTTTACTTAGAGTAAAGGCACTGACAACTGCCAAATCAAGCATAAACTACTATAGTCAGATCCTTCCATGACGAGCACTTGTCGGGCTTGTCTCTGGCGTGCATAGCAGTGTGTCCCACTGTCCACTGTCCACTGTTCAGGTTGGTGCCCGCCCTTTGTCTCTGCGCCTATCGCTTCAATACCGTGTTCAGTCTATACGGCAGAACTATACCAGATTTGTGGAGTGCCATTCGGCCCATTCCCCTTCCAATCTCCCGATTCCTTCGAGCACTGGATGATAGGTGATCTACGTCATTCCCACAAGCCCCAGGGGCTGGAGCCATTGCGATTCGTGATAGTTACTGCGGGCGGTCGAAAATCGGCGTTAACTGACTTCCTTTATACCCTAAGTTGCACCGAGATTTGCTCTTCCCTGAGACCCTATCTGCGCAGTCCGGTTCAGCCACGATCTTTAGCTTTATCTTCGATAGGCGCGCGGTGAGCCAGGCATCTGTACAGGCGGAAAGTGATGTACACATTGAGGGTATACTTATTCGGTGTGAGCAGGTTGCTGCGCACAATCTAACTTCGAAATCAAAGAAAACAAAAAGAACAAAATAATGAAAAAAAAATAAGGTCTGCGACGACCTCGGGATCTAGAGTAGCTAGCTGCCACATGCCGCAGCGCATGGTACAAAGTAAGTAACTGCCGTTAGTGGTAGCAGTCGGGGATATTCGAGTCTCTTGGTAGTACACATTCAAGGTTATTGGCGGTACCAGACCTACTCCAGCAACCATAAATTTAAGTCTCTTCCGGTGGACTTGCATGCAGACTACTTACTCATTAGGCAATGGAGCTTGTATGGAGTCCCAAAGCCATGGAAATTACCGGTAGGATCACGTTGACCCGAAGCGCTTTCAATGTGGCCGGAAAGCGATAGAATACCAAAGAGATTTGGGGGATCGCGTTCGGTGCAGCATGCCCGTTCAGATTCTATCCCAGGTCGGGATCAGGGCCAGGAAACCCCCAGTAAGTGGACACCCTCCGTCTAAGCAACCTCATGACTGTCCCGAGACTCGAGAGAAAGAGATATCTAGAAACATCTTCATTCTCCTACTGCTTGCTCCCAATGCCCTTCCTCCTCTACCCGCGAAGGACCCCATTTCCAGCCTCCGCTCTTGTCCGTTACAGTGGGGACCGGAGCCGACAACTCAATTGAGAGTCGAAAGGAGAGCGAAAAGCCGAGCTACTGCCTAAGTAGGCAGGTATACGGTCCAGCCTGAAGAATGACTGACCTCTTGAAAAGCTGAGTATGGATCTTCAATCATAATCCTAGAAACGGCCATGGGCCAGATGGTACGAGCGCGCTACTATAAGGTCAAAATAGAAGAGGGGGAAAAAAAGTTCGAAGCGTTCCACTGCACATCGGTTTCGGATCAGTCGATGATAGAATATCAAATCGGAGACACCTAAGCTATGATCGGTCTTACAATCTGCATCCACTATCAGCCGAACGACTCGTGGCGAGAGTCCCGATGCTGCGAGGGATGAGCAGATTTGTCCAAAAGAGCCGTAGTAAGACAGAGAGGGAAGCAGCATCGCGTTATTGGTTGGCGATGCACACGACTCGAGTGGAGGAAACTGAGTTCCGTATAGAGAGTAGTAGTAGGTAAGGCAGGGTGGATATACACCCCAAGTGTAAGGTTTGTCTTGATCAAGTGAAACGTCCGACCTCGCCTAGGATGGAGAGTGATGGAGTCGGATCTGGACCGGGAGCTTAATTCTGTCGTGCACGGGGTCGAACATCATGGATTGAACCATATTCTACGTACCTAAACCGTATCCAACAAGGCTATGACACAATGCTTCGACCCTAGAAGCACAGACATATGGTGGTACTATACTTCCCTACGTTGCGCGTTTTCTGCAGCCAACCTTTTTTTTTGGTTGGTTATTTACTGTTTCCTTCTTTTCAAAGCATGCTGCAACTCAGTTCTAAGTCTGCATGCCCTCCTGACTCTACATGAATGCAAAACATTGATAACCCACCACCCTTTCCTCCCTCACGGGGTCGATTTTCTGATACTGTAACATAACTGTGTACGGCATCGAGGGTGGATTGTATGGGGATTGTAAGTGCGCTTAGGCTTTCTAACGGTCCAGATTGCTTGGAGTCGGTACCCGCCAATCAGCAACCTGAGAAAGAGCGCTTCCGGGTCACATCGGACGGATCTCCCCAGAAGCTTATTACATGAGAGAGTGTGTATTGTGATAGCGAAGGTGTATTGAGGATGACAGTACGGGGAGGTATCTGGTGAGGTAGGTACTCACTAGTTGCGTCCTTAACGTTAGCCGGTACTTCGACAGTTAGTAGACCAGACCGAGCTGGGTTAGTCCCCGCAGTGGTACTTTTTTGAGTGCGATGGCCGTGGATAAATTGGACCCATGGATGATAGTCCACGGTCCACGGTACTTTGAACTGTGTCCCTTCTCTAGGCGAGGCAGGCAACATTACGTCATTTGTCTGTGCTTGCGTGCCGCACCCGCCCTTTCGTGTGTCTCTCTCTCTAGATCTAGTTACTAAGGCCGAAGCATCAGAGTGGTCCGTTGCCGTTCCAGCTGACAAGTTTGACGGAAGGATTAAGGGGAATGGGAAGAGGAAATGATATTCGACGGACCCATGAAGTGTATTGCTTAGTGAGATCAAATCTATTGAACAAGTGTTCTAATTTGTTGGACTTTTGATCCGATTCAAGGGGAGCGATTGACTGACCCGGTCGGCTAGGCCATGGATGGCCTATCAAGGCCAGGTCTCCGCTAAGGGCGGGAGAGCCCCGGATTAGTTACATCATAGGTAGCCTTCATATTTATGAGGTGAACCACTAGCCTACTGAGGTAGCTACTTGGTGGTAGAACGGCAAATAGTTCCTTGATACTCCGTAGCCGAGTACATGCTCAGTACTCCGTACATACATTCTACTGAGTACATAGCCCTGAGTGCCCTGGAGTATCACCTACATATCTGTATGTAGTTAGACTCTCTCGGACTATCGCCCCCTCGGAATTGTGATGCCTATGGCATATGAAAGGGATGAAATTAGCTGATCCACTATCTGGAGCATGACGTTCAGCCCAAGTATTGTCATCCTTTTACCTAACGGGCTAGACCCCAACAAACTGCCCTACTGTACAGTAGGTATCGAACTCGGTCGCAACAAAATCTCGGTCTAACTAATCGGCAATGCAAGCCATTCATCCATCCACTCCCCCAGATGCATGTTGATGCGCAGACTCTTTATCTACTATGTATGTACAGTATGTACGGGAAACTAAGGTACAGATCTCGAGTGAGACAGGAACGGAAATCTCAAGACAAGCAAAGCAAGAGAAGACAAACGGTTCTCCCACACCACTACGGAGTACACGACATCCACATCCACATCCACCCGCTAGTTATTGCCTGCAGTCACAGCCGTGCCACTAACAGAGAGTAACTACCATATCCACCCACACGCACACATTTCCACAACACACACACCTACTGGACTGGGGACCATCTACTCCGTACTCATATTAAGCATGTATTCGATGACATCACTCTCAGCCCAAGCTAGCCATTACTTAATATCGGAGTCCTAACCTACTGGAAGGCGAACAACGATCCCGGCGCACCGGGTTGCGCGCAAAGGGTCCATCCCATTCGCTGAACAAAGAGCCGTATTGAACTCCATTCTCCGTAGGATGATTTTTTTTTGATATGGAGTATGACAAGTGAATCATACCTTTTCTCTGTCGAGCAATGATCAGATCCAGATCCCCGACCCGGTGGACTTCTCCCAAAATAGCTAGCCAAACTCATTTCGAAGAGTTATCGCTTTGCAACCCGCATATATTATCCGGGTCCAAACAACATACGTCCGTGGCCCGAGAAACTACTACTACTTCCGTACAGTAAACGTAGACAGAATGTGTGTTCAACCCATCCACAATCATAGGTAAAAAGGTGGTGTCCTATGAGGAGGGCGGGGGTAATTGCTTTTTGTACTGACCGCACCGAAAAAGAAAAGAAAAGATAACTGCTAGCACAGTGCTAGGGGGATTGGAAGGGAAAGAAAGGGTACCTTTTTACGGTAATCTATTTTTTTTGCCTCCGTTCTCGAAAGCTGACTGAACTGACTCGAGCAATTGATAACTTAATAATCATACGTTCTCGATCAGGTAGGCAAGCCAGCCACTGAGCTGGAGCCCTGGGCCAGATAGACAAGGTGTCCACTCAATCTGGAAGTACCCTCGCCACCCCCGGTCGCGCATCCTAATCAGAACTGAAAAAAAGATTAAGTAAACCGACTAGCTTACCACTGACAGAGTGCCGGTAGTTAATCAACCGGTTCATCTCCCGCTGCAGCGAACCCCGGGGGGGGGGGGAGGGAGACGCGATTGCAATGAGTGCAGCTGCGCATGAGATACATTCAATCCTTTCGCACCTGTTCCCCTTATATCTGATGCCATTATGAATATGATCTCTCCTCCCCTTGATGCACTTCCTTCCCATGATTCGTTCGGATTTGATAATTCGCTGCTGCTGCTTGCTGCTACCTTTGAACCAACTAGCTAAAGCAACCAACAGGTGTTTAAGTAGTCAAGTTAGTCAGGGTTAGCCAACCATCACATCCACTAACCACCGACCATCTCCGGCCACGAGATTTGAACTCTTGAGAGAACAATATGATTACCTCCAAGATCCACGAATAGCCATCAACCAAAACAGTTCCGGTAGAAGGATCGAGTCTTGTGCTATCCACTCTATCCACAATGATAATGCCAAACCCATCTTCTTCCTCGACCCACCAATCCCATCGCTTTTCTCATCTGCTTCTCAAAAATGATCTCCGGACGCACACAGGATCGTATTTAGGACACGATATACGTACAGATGCTTAGGAGTTTTACTTTCAGCTGAGCTAGTTAAGCTCTTCCCTCACTCACTGACTCGACACCACCCGACGGAAGCACACATCTTACTGACCTGAACCCTGCGCCCGCGTTCATCCCTTCCATCGATCCCATCCGACATCTACCCATCCAAGGTCCATCCATCCCATCTCCCCGTCCAGCCTAGCGCAACCGCATCTCTACCGCGTAAGGCTTTGACCTGTTGCCCTCGATCGAATAACAAATCACGGAAGCACTGCCCGCTTCTCTGCCGTGTCGGACGGCAGCGGGATAAAATACAGTACAGTACACTCGACGAGGGCTTTTTAGTCGCGTTTGTCATTATTCCGGCGGGGAAAGGATGACAAGCTTCATAGATGGGATGTGCCATCCCCACCCCACCCCATCACGCAAAGCCGTGTGCTCTGCAATCTTCTCCTTCAAAAACAAAGATTATGAAACCCAAAGGAATGAATATTAACTACCTTGCCCCGTTCCTCACGAAGAAACAAAATCAGAAAAAAAAAGAGAAGGATGAAGCAGCCTCCTGCACTTGACGATTGGAAGTATGTACGATTACCAAAACCGGAAAACCAAAACAACCACCTCATGCGCCCTCTTCCATTATCGCCCCCCGCGCGCGCATTCGAAGAGGGGTCGTCAGCGTTGAGCCTTTTTTGTCCCTTCTGCCTTCTTTGACATTTTGAAACATTTGACATCTGACACCTTCGAAACCATAATAAAAAGCTTCTGAGAAAGCGGGAGGGGAGGAAGAGGGGAAGATAGTTACCGGGGTAGCAGCTTCGAGACGAAGCAGCTGCCACCACAAGTCTTCCCGTTAGTTACTAACTTTGCGTACTGACAAAGAAGAGAAACATGATGAGAGACGGCGAGGAAAGAGCTGAGCTGGGGAGTGAGTTAGGAAAGTCAAATCTAATCTATCTCGATCCTCTTACCCCCCGGAGAGGAGATAGGAGACAGAAAAGAAGGGTCAAGGGCCAGCTGGGTTGGGTTGGGTTGGTTTGGGTTGGCCTAAATAGGTTCTCCCGGTATCCCGATCGCGCGCAGCCGCGTGTAGGCGTGTGTATGTATGTGTGTGTCTTATCATGAGTCGTGGGAGTTCTGGGGGTTGTGGACTGCGGAGTGTTGTGTCAGTTAAGGTGCAGTGCGTGGTGACAGATACGATGAAAAAGAAATGTTATGGATTGATACGCGGGATCTACAGATTGGTGGTGGTGGTGGCTTGCCGCTTTGCTTCCCTCCCCGCCCCTCCTTCCTCAGGCTGAGTTACTCGTACCTAAAGGTCAAAGAACGGAGATGCCTAATGCTATCTAGCTTGGCCTGGGATTCTTTGCCAGGTGCATCTAACCACCCCCGTCCCCGAAACACCGTTGAGTATCACCAAGATGAACTCAATAATCCGTACGGGGATAATTCCGAGGGGGCGAGGGACGGATGTGCTGGTTGGTGGTGGTGGTGGTCGGGATTGGGACGGGAGGGGGGGATTATCTTCGCCTCATTCGAATGAAAGTGTTGAAATCACCTGTCCTATGTAGAAAGAATGAGAGGGGCAATGCGCTGCATTCTTTTCTAAGGCGTAGGTGCGTACGCATCCTCCCGCGGAGAAAAGGTCCAAGACAACAGATAGGTAAGTTCTACATACGGCGTTGTATGTTGTTGGGCGGTTTCCGCTCGTCTGTGTTGCCATTGCTTCTGGAAAGAGGTATGCTATGCGAGATTGATGAGGAGAAGGGGGAGGGGGGCGATGTTCGACAGAGTATATCGAGCCATGGTTGAACAATTACGCAGAGTACTTCCGTCGAGAGTAAGAAGTTAGCAGCAGCAGCAGCAGCGGTGCTATGTAAAAACTTACACTTTGACTAACTTAGCACATGTTCATCTCTTTTTGACTTTTTATCAACTCCACTTGCACTTAAGTCTAAGTAAGCTACCTGTCTTGTCCCTTTGGGGCAACAGTCTTTTTTTTTTCAAAAAACCTTTTGCCATTTGATTAACTAGTTATCGGCAAGACAACGGCTTACTAACCACCCAGCTGCTTACTAAGAGACTCAGCGCTTCTGCTCTAGGCTAAACAATTCCACTAAGTATAGTTGTACAGTGCATTGATGCTCGTAGTAACTACTCATAGTAGTTACACACTTTTCTCTCATCAATGATATCATAGACGAAACCCACATTCTGCAGATCACATATCAAACTAAATTAATACTGATGTAAGAAGTGGAAAAAAAATCGAATAATCTTTACTTCCCACCCGAGAGACAAGAGCACAAAAACCAAAAATAATTCCCACTGTGGCGTCTGATAGTAACCGAACTAGCGTTGTTGTGTCTTTACCCCTGGGAGGGACTCATTCGGTTTTCCTTTTCCTGCTTGGCATTTTTTCAATACTACGAGTCAATCGAATCTCTTGTGTATCACTCAGTACCTATCTCTCTGTGTGTGTTTCATGCTTTTGTGGTGGGTTTCCACGACCGTTGTATTTTTGTTCCTCTTGGTTGTTGTACTGTACGTCCCTTGCGTGGAATGGATATGGAATCTTCTTCATGAACTTGATCGGTTACTATCTTCCATATCGACAGTCACATTGTAGTTCAACCAGTCCAGCCTCGCACCCAGTGTCTACCACCGTCCAGCTTATCTTTCAACTAAGCCATTTGACCGGGGAAAGGAAAGATTGTGTACACATGAATAGATTACCATAGATGCAATAGACAATCAGTTATTGTCTGAAACATGGTACAGGTACAGGTACATACAGTACCTTTTCCGGGAGAGAAAGGCAGAAACGGGAAGTAAAGTAATATCTGTACGGTACTATTGTTTCCTTCCTCCCCCCATCTCCATTGCCCCCTCATCTCTACACACGGACGTAGCTTACCAGAGTGTCGGGTCGTGGGGTGTAGGGCTTCCCGTTTGACTCGGGTTTCCATATCTGCTCACCAGCCTGGTGCAGTTATTGTATATCGGTGTTCGTTGTTTGTACCAAGTTAGAGAAATAACCAATCCATCTATGAGCTTGTTGCATGATATGGTAGGTAGCTTGCGAAAGGTACAGTACTTGACTTTCACCTGAATGGTATCCATCCTCTGGATTACAACTAGTCAGGTTTGTGGAAATCAGAATGCTCAATAACCAACATAATATCAGGCTTTGCTTATAGATTCCTCTCTATAGTATCTTATTATTCTCTTCGCGGTTAAACATGGTCTGACCTGAAAACACTACGTGGAAATACCGGCGAGTTGTAGTTGACGCCGGTCAAGTTAGGTATACCTGAGACTCATCCTACTACTCACAACACACAAGATTCCACCTCCTTCATGTATACCAAGCAAGACTATCTCCCAAAATACCGTCAATGCAAAGATAATCACCATTGACACCAGCAGAATGCAACACTATCATACCCCCCGTACCTCAACCCGTAAAAAGCAAACCCATCCACGGTGACACCTCCCCACGAACCTTGGCACGGAACCATCAACCAGCATAGGGCCACCACAAATCTAGGTACAAGTCCATCAACCATCGCTCCGAAGAAGGTCTATCTTTGCCTGAGTGGCCGACAGGAAAAGACCTCCGAGGGAGATGAGGTTGGACGAACCACCCCGGCAGGTACCTACCCAACCCGTAGTAGTAGCAACCTTGAATCGGTTTCGGTCCATGAAGTCATGTATACACCTTCCCCGGAAATCCACGACACCAAGCCCAGGCCCTCTTTTACAGTGGTAAGTATCCTCATCATCACTTCTAGATCCCAATCAGGAGTTAGGGATTATAGATCCGTTCCCGCCCCTCTTATCGTTGGAACGTGGTTTACCACTACAGTGTTAGCGTAGCACCAACCGAATACAGTACTGGAACTCCATCTCAGATGGAACTCCCACACACACAATCTGATCAAATCCTTCTCCCCTTCCTTTCCTTCCCCAAAGATTGAACCCCTCATCTCATCCTCCTTCAATCCCAAGGAACCATTGGCGTCGGGGGGTAAGGTGCTTCTTCGGAAGCGAGCCCGAAACTCAGAAACAGAAGACAGGCAGGTGACATTGAAGCTTCCTACTTTATCTAGTCCAGTGCCCCTCCTGCCTCGTACAGCTTACTGAGGGGAAACCCACTGGATTGGGTTAGGTAATATCAACAGCAACCAGCCACAAACCCCAAGACCCGAGACCCTCACCGTTCTTTCCGTCATGCATCTTGCAGCTGACATCTGGAACCCGGGAGATGGAGTATCGTATCCGTGGCAGTGGCAGTGGCAGTGGCAGCGGTTGGAATCCCAAGATCACGGTGAGATTGGATACGGGGAGGGGAATGAAGAAGGACTGTAAGTTACTGTGTACTGTCGGAAGGGGAAAGTCGACAGAGGGTACTGTGCCTGGCCTTTGACCGTTTGATGGTGGTGGTGGTGGTAAGGTAGTGGCTGGCGATCACAAGGTAAGGTTGCGTGTGGTGGGTGGTGGTGGTGGTGGTGGTGGTGGTTTGTTTGCTTCTGAGCTAGCTGCAGCCATCCATCAGCCACCTCCATTCCCATTCCTTCTTGTTCCATTCATGATGATCCCACTGGGCAGGGTACAGTGCCCAAGATGTACAGTAGACAATCCCAGATCCCTGCCTTCTACGAGTTCCCGGAGATTTGCCCACCGGGCGTACTGTGTACATGTATGTATGTATGTGTGTACCCTATCGTCGAACCTCACATCACGCCGTCATAGTTCATCTTCAAATTCAAACAAAGCAAAGCGAAGCAAAGGTAAAACAAAAATCGCGCAAGAGACGCCATACCAATACCATTTTCTCGCCACCGGCTGGCTGCTCTCCCTTCTTCAGCTTCAACCCGTGGCGAGTAGCAAGGTAAGGTAGTCTTCCCCGCCATGATAGACCGTGAAACCCTCCCCACTAGAAGAAGAAAAGGGAAGGAGCTAGTCTAGCTACCTTACAGTAATAGTAGTAGTACCTAGTCACGGTAGGCCTCGGGGGGTATGCTTGTGCTTGTGCTCAGCAAAGTCGAGTCCTTCTCATGCCTGGATGGAACGAACGGAAGCTTGCATCAGTTCGAGTACAGTACAAAGTTTATTCGTGCGAAACTAAGATCCCCCTCCCCCCATAACAGTTTGAGTCCCCGGGACGAGTCGGAATTATCTCGTGGTCGTTGAGGTTGCACACGATCCTCCCCGAGGGGTTGGTACTTAACTGGGGGAGAGAGCGCCAATGGTTGCATAGGTAAGGTACTAAGTAAGTAAACCGGGACTGCTACTTATTTAGGTAGGTAGACTTCCTTGGAAGTTCCTGTGATACTGTCCAGTATGTTGTGGACACCATCGAGCTAGTTCGAGTTCAAGTAGCTGCATAATGGATGATATGGAGACTACCTAGTCATTGACGCAACACATTCAATCTTACCAAGCAACAAGTTGGACTGGAAGCTGTAACATCTACATCAAATAGCCGAAAAATAGCAAATATGTGATTATCTATGAGCCCTCGGGCCAACGTCAATTATGTTCTCCTAACAGGTATGTCCCACTATCAACACCCATGATTCTAAGTCCTGCTTTTCTCATGGGATACCTCCTCTCCGCGTACTGGCCTATAGTAGCCCAGTAACCTCCCTCCAGCCAAAGTAGGCAGCAGAACACTAACAACAAAGAAAACAGAATCGGGGCCACAGAAACTCCTGGACGCCGCCCAATGTCAACCACACGGCACGAGAAGAAAATACAAAGGCACAGCGTCGGAAGATCTGCACCTCTACATGCACAGATATAATGCAACATGCAACATGCAATATGCAACATGGGGCTGGAGTATGCAATAAAACTCGGATAGTGCCACTCGCGGGATCAACATGGGTCACCGCCTCGGGTATTTAGTTAGAAGATCAATTTGCATGCACATCCAGACACAAATAAAGAAGGGTGAAGAAAAGACGCATTCAAATGGGTATCCTGCGTTGTTCATCGAACTGAAGGCGTGAAAGAAATGTATTCGGAGGAGCAACAGTCGCTCGTAATCGAGACACGGACCCAGCGATTGGGACACTGCATCGGTCGGTCGCAGGGACCCAGCTGCCCTTCCATTCGGGTAACCTGGGCTCGCAAACCCAAGCAAGGAAATGTGAGAAATCTCATGGTCATCACACAATGTCAAATCAGTGCATGATGACTAGTGAGAACCCATCAATCCAGGACCCACTGGATCCTGTGATTCCGGCGATTTTGTATCCCAAAGGAGGTATTAAAGTGTGTCTAATGCCAACTTGTCAGTCCCAAAGCCCTGCAATCCAAAGCGACGAGATCACGCAAAAAGCTATTCTTACCCTGAGCCTCCCTGGGCATTCCCGAACATGCCAGATTTCCTCCCTTGACTGGTCAAGATCTCAATAGCGTCAATCCAGTGGCCGGCCCGAATATAGAAACCGAGCAAAATCTCCCCTCTCCGAGTATCTGGTTTCTTCATTAGCGCCTGTCTATTAAGTGGGATACGGGGATATTTACCGAGCACGAAATCATCACCGCCAGGTTTCCCTTCTCTGTTGCCAAAGAGCTGACTCGTTGCATCCTCATAGAAGAATTCAAGTCCATTGACTGCCGCACCGTGGTAGATCCGGACCGATGTCAAAAGCTTGGTCGAGATGAAGGCACAATCCAACAACAGCTGCTCGGGTTGGCTGCCTTCCAGCTGAGAAAGTCCTAGTTGTCTACCCTTATAGCCGGTATGGCTCTTGGGTAATTTCACCAGGGACAATTTCGATTTCAGAGTACTGATCGAATCCACCGTATGACTGCCAAGAGCTCCAGAGTAGATGATCATTTTGACGCTCTTCTTCTTCTCCTTATCGTTGCCGAAGACGCGTTGACGCAGTTCAGTCTCCGTCACGGTAATCTGCCTTGGAAGCCCGTTGCTACTCGACTCACTATTCATATACTCAAGAAAGTTATGGCAAACGTTGTCACCTTCGGCATAGAGTTCGATGAACGCGATTCCCGATGGAGCCGTGAGAACAATTTTGCCGTTTTCAACGGGCCAAACTTGAATGCTGTCATCGGAACCTATAGGAGCATCGCTGGGCAATCGGAAACAGGGATGGAACCGGAACCGCAGAACGTCAAGTCGATGCCAGCCACATTCATCCTGTGGTAAGCACAATTTAAGACCTTGAGTCTTCGTTCGGGTGGAAAATGGCTCGCGTGTGAGGAATGACCGGTTGAGGCGGACATAGTCCCTAAGCATGATGCCCGACTCTTGGTGTGGACACCCGAAGAGGTGACCGACCTCATGAAGGTGCGCTCCGATACCGATGTTGGCAGCTTCCCAGCTGGATCCAGCCTCTCCGCAATCATTAGCTACAAAGTCGGTGTTTGTTCTGGTGCAATCAGTGAAGGCATCCACAACCTCTTCCATATTGGACGGGTAGCTGTGGAGGCTATGGGAGCCGAAGATCGCTAGCTTGAGGTCTCCGGAGTCCGAGCCCAGGGCCGCATGACCAGTGATCACTTGAGAGCCCGTGTCCCAGTGTGAGTCGAGAAGCAACACGGAGACATACTGCTTCTGACCTGGCTGAAGGTGAAAGTAGTCCTTCACGGCATCTCTCGCGATCCGGAATAGCTCATCCTTCTGAGTAGCAGAGCCGTGCTGCTGCGCAATATTGAGGTCCCGAAGCTCCGCGACTGTCTTCTCGGTCCGAACAACGTGGATTTTGGCTTCGTTTCGCATTTGGCCAGTAGTTGTATCGCGACGACTCGACGTACCCAATTGCCACTCATCCTCGAGCCGGAAACAGCGCCGTCCAAGATTGTTGCGGTACATTTGTTCCCCGGTGAATGCTTGCCACAGGTATGCTGCCATCCGATACTTTTGAATAGCGGTTTCGAGGCCATTTCCATCCCGTTGTTGTTTCTCTGGCGGGGTGTCGAAGGTGCCATCAGAATCCTTTCCGAGCAGTATCACCAAATGCAAAGGTGGAGCATTGACCAGTGGGAGATAGTTGATGCAAATCCAGGATGAATGAACCGATTGGTGCGAGCTACCGGACGAATGCTTGCTCGACACAAATTCGAAGCGCAGTCGATTGGGACCAGGTACTAGATGCACCAAAGTCTTGAAGTGTGAAGAAGTAACAGGCCATGAGGTCGACGGGAAGCTATCTTGGTGATGGTAGACTGTGACAGTTCCGTCCAGCGGATGTTGTCGCGGATCTCCAACCTGACCGTAAACAAGCAGTACCTTGTGGTGCACCTATGAATAGTCCCCCGAAAGTCAGACCTCGAGCCCACTCACGGTCCACCAGAGGTCATATCACTTACCCAAGAGTTTTCCGAGACAGATATGATGCGGGGTGCGTAAGGGGAAGAAGGCGTGGGCGACCGTCCTACTCCATTCACAGACATAGTACTACCAAACTAATTGGGATCCCAGACCATCAGTAAGTAAGTTTACCTCGCGCAGATATGAGATCACATACATAGGCGCTGTTCCGCTGAGAGGAAGAAGTAGTGAGGGGGCCCGGTCGTTGTGGCGGCACGGCAAGGGGTGAGATTGCGCCGGGTGTGCTGCTGCTCTCACTCAGCGACGGAAGGTTGGGAGAAGACAAGGTAGGCTTGATCGAGGAAGGAGGGGTGAGGGAGCTGGACGAAGCTGTTTCAAGCGTTGATGACGATTGCCCCGAAGTTACATCGCCATTAGACTGGGATTCGGTCGATTTAGTCTCCGGCGACTTAGTGGTAGTGAAGCTGGCCTTGGAGCGTCGACGTAGCGTCTTGAATAACGGCATGGTGGACGATCTTTCTTGATTGTTGCTGAATCAAGAGGGTCGAAGGACTAGAAGGAGGGTGAGGAAGTATACTGGGAAGGGAAAGAGAGGCTGAGCAGCGCTGGCCGGTCTGTCTCTTCTGCTTTCACTGCTTTGGGGGATGTTTTCTTTCGCGACCATCCAATGAGAGGTTTAGAGATTCGCCAGGGATAAACGAGCGACTGTCAATCTTCAAAGCCGATGTGCTGTCGTCAAACTGGGTATAATTGCTGGGATTCCTGCGTGGACTAACACGCTGCTGCTCTGCGCTGTTCGGTGATGGTCCCGACAACAAGCTAGGAAAAAAGCAACCGTTTGCGGTTGCGATTGATCAACCACTGGAATAAGCACCCCGCAATCACTGGAATTTCTGGAAGTTTAATGGTACTTCACAGATTGACAGTTGGTTTGGAGAATAATTGAACAAGCGAGAGACAAGAAGGAGAGAAAGAGAGCAGGAAAGAAAAGAAGAAACGAGGGGAGATAGGACCAACAATGGGGTCAACTAGAATGAAATCATTAGCCAAGTCAAAGGCGGGGAGGGGAAAAGATTAGAGAAGCTGAGAAAAGAGGGAAAAACTAGGAACAAGAGGCAGACCAGAGGCTGGCTTGACCAAGGAAGGAGGGACTTTTGGTGTAAAGGAGGACCAACAGAAAAATAATAATAAAAATAAAAATAATAAAAATATGAGTAAAAATAAAATAAGGGTAGAAATAAAAGTAGTAGGGGAAATTGGGTGATAATCAACGAATGGAACTGGTAAGTATCTGGTGCTTAGGTTGCGTCTATCGCTCTCTCGCTCTCTCTTGCTCTCTCTTTTTTCTTGGGTATCTTGGGGGTAAGAAAGAAACTAAGGAGAATAATGGATTATGGGACAGACAGTATTGACGGGATACTAGTACTCCGCAGTAAGACTATGAAGAAAAGAGATTGGAAGTGAGAGAAGTGGAAAAGCCGGATGGGGTCGATTAGTGCCTGGAACTAAAACTAGAGAGAACAATCGCCAGCCATTGTGCTAGTCAGTTATGTCATTGGTATGTGAGACACGCAAAATGATCCAGCAAAACAAGCAAAATAAGCCAAAGAGGAAAAAAAAAAAGAAAAAAATAAAGAACTGCAACGGCCAATCTCCTACCGGGTTATCTGAATCACTCCCGGTCAGAGCCAGATCCCATTCCCTTTCCGTTACCACGGCTAAAAGCTTGTTCGGCTTTGGTTTGAACTCGCTGTCTCCGTCTGTTTCACCCCGACATGCTATCCTCAGTGCCACGCTGCAGAATTGCAGAGAACCACAGACCCTTGAGCCCTGGTGTTGAGCCCTTCCGCCCCGGTGGTCTCTGGATGCAAGCCGATAACGACCGAGACCGAGACGTGCCCCTGTAAATGGGTACAAGGTCGATAACCCCGATTAAAGGAGAATAATAGACCATCAGAAATAGCGATACTAATCACAAGTGAATTGCTGCCATCGGCGATTAAGGTGGGGGGGGGGGTGTAGGAGGAGAAGGAGAGGAGGGGCTACAGCCAAGCTGCAGCCAGAGGGGGCTCGTTGCGAATAGACAAGGGTGTGTTACGTAGGCTGGATGCCACTGGCCAACAGGGGGAGGGAACAGAAGTGCAGAAAGAATGGTTAAGAACGTGAGATAGTGGTCTCTACCAGACTAAACTACGGTGGAGGGTGGACTAACTAACCACTCGCTGTCTTCCTAACATCACCGTCTCACCATCCCGGTCCGGTGGAGCCTAGCTAGACGATCGTCTGCTATATTTGTCTTTCGGTCTTATCCTCAGCCTCTTGCTGCAGTTCCGTGGTAGCAACGCAAACTGCTGCTATCTTACCGTTCCGAGAATCGATATAGGAACCGAGAGCGGTCGGCCAGTTAAGGCTTATGTACTCTGCAGCGAGTACAGTACGTACAAAATATCGCTTTGGCCTGACTGAGCAGGAGCTGGTCGGTATGGGAAACCCGTGATGCGCAGAAGAGCAAAAGCAGCAGCAGCAGCGTAATCGCAGGGATCTCGGATCTTCCTTGCTAGCGCTGTACGTACCACGCCCGCAGGCAGAACAGTTTGAGTGGCACGGCAGTAGGTGTTTTGATGGTGGTTGATATTTCTTGGCTGCCGTTCGGCGCACATACCTCTGGACTCAACTGTACTGAACAATCAAAATGTTAACTATCAG